AGAACCAGTGTGCCCCGCCGCGCTCGCTGCGGCAGCGGCCGGGTGACACCGCGGCCCGCGACACTGCCGCACAGCGCCGGCCGGCGCGCTTGACGGCAAGGAGCCGCCGCCGTGGAAACCGCGGGTGACGCTGAGGGCGCGCGGAGCCGGTGACTGCTTGCTTCGAAATTAATTCATTTATTTAGCGATGTAAATGTATTTATTTATTTATTTATTTATTTATTTATCAGCGGTTACTGCAAGGCTTTTGAATTACAGCGGGCGAGGGTAGAATGCTGGTGTTTAGCCGGAAAAGCGGAATTGTGACACATCTCGAAGGGACATGATGTGGTGTTCTAAAGTACGTTGGGAAGTTGTCAGGAGTGACGATGCAAATGGGGTCAGAGCAAGTCCCGGGTTTGATTTTGGTTTTATTTTGTGGTTGTTACGAGCACTTATGTCTTATTGCCCCCTTGTGGCTTCAGCGTTTATTTCAGAATTCTTTTCTGTATGGCGACAGCGTGACTTTATTAAAAAACGTAATTTAACTAAGGTGACAAAATTTGACACCAGTTTTGCCTGCAGGACAGAATGGTCATCCCCATAACGTCACAAAAAAACGAGTTAATGACAGACCCAGTACTAAATTTTTATGTTGAAATTTAAAGCCGCGTCTCCCCTCACGGAATTCCCGCGCTTGCCCGTTTCCAAGATGGCGGCCGGGGGGCGTCACTCCCTCACGCACTGCCCGTTCCCAAGATGGCCGCCTTGTGGCGTCACTCCCTCACAAATTGCCCGTTCCCAAGATGGCCACCGGGGGGGCGTCACTCCCTCACGCACTGCCCGTTCCCAAGATGGCCGCCTTGTGGCGTCACTCCCTCACAAATTGCCCGTTCCCAAGATGGCCACCGGGGGGGCGTCACTCCCTCACGCACTGCCCGTTCCCAAGATGGCCGCCTTGTGGCGTCACTCCCTCACAAATTGCCCGTTCCCAAGATGGCGGCGGGCGGGATCGCTGCCCGTTGCCGAGATGGCGGCGGGCGGGAGCGGCCGCGGCTGCGCGGTGCAGCGGTGCATGCCGGGCGTGCCGCCCGCCGTGACGCTGCACATCGCACCCGGCACCGCCACCGGGCCCGCGGCCATGGCGGGCGTGAAGGTGATCGCCAACGACACCGAGTTCCAGCCCGAGCTGAGCGCCGCCGGCTCCCGCCTGGCCGTGGTGAAGTTCACCATGAGGGGGTGAGTGAGGGCGCGGCGGCCGCCTCAGGCTCCCATGGCCGCCTTCGGGCTTCCCCGGCGCGGCTGCAGCGTGAGGGGCGCTCCGGAACGCGTCGGTGCAGCCGCAGCACCGCCGCCTTTACGAGTTCCGTGGTTTTGAACGTCGTGTTCCCAAATCCTGCCATAAATCCCCGTTTGTCCCGCCGAAGCGCGGCCCCCGGAGCCGCCAGCCCTCGGGCGCTCTGAGGGAGGCGCTGCGCTGGTCGAAAGCCCCGGCAAAGGCAGGAAACTGATGGGAACAAGGCACGGACAGCACCAAACACACCTCGAAACTTGCAAAAACATCTTCTGCCCCCTAAAACTTGCCTGGATCCGCACCCCGTTTGCACAGGACAAGTAGATTATCCCTTTTCACCACAACTGTCGTGAAATCGGGGTGAATTTGTCACCAAATAAACTCAACATCTGAATTATTCTCCTTGATTTGTGAATTTAGGGAGAACAGTGATAATCTCGGGGGTTTGGGGGTTCTTAGGGCACCTCATTATTTTTTGCCTGCTGCCCCTTAGTTTTTTGCCAGTTTTCTACATCGGGCATTTTTTACTGCACTTTTTGTTTCTCTTTCCAAGTGCCAAACTCCCTTTACAGGAATTGCTGCAGCTGAGCACTTCCTGCACTTTTGCTGACGCAGAATAAATAAAAACTACATGTTTTCGTCCAAGTCAATGCAATTAAATGAAATGAAAGAAACCAACTCTGTCCTCCCAGGGCCAAATAAATGTGGGAACAGCCGGTCACAGGTGTAAGTGAGCTTTTTGTGGCAGGAATTTTGTGATCCCTGGAGGTTCGATACACGGCGACCGTTCCATATTTGAGTTACACACAGTTGTTCCCAGGAGGGAAGGTTCCCGTTCGCTCGGGGCGGGCACTGAGGGACAGGCCGGGTGGGACTGACGGGGTGTGCTCTCCCCACAGGTGCGGGCCCTGCCTGCGGATCGCGCCCGCCTTCAGCGCCCTCAGCAACAAATACCCGCAGGCAACCTTCCTGGAGGTGGACGTGCACCAGTGCCAGGTGTGTGCCCGGCTGGGCGGGCACGGTCCTCCTGGGGGGAGCATCCACTGTAAAACCTCATTGATTCATTGAGTCACTGATTCTGAGCCCCTTGCTAAAACTGTCCTTTGGATGTCGCACGCAGCACCAGTGGGAATGAAGTAAAGCCTTTCCAGCCAAGCGTTGGTGGGATGCTGGGGGTGAAAAGGCAAAGATGAATCGTGGTGGGGCTGGGTGGCTCGCAGCGTGGCCGAGGCGCTGAGCGGGCTCTCGTGTGTGCTGCCAGGGCACGGCTGCCACCAACAACATCTCGGCGACGCCCACCTTCCTGTTCTTCCGCAACAAAGTGCGCATCGACCAGTACCAGGGCGCCGACGCCGTGGGGCTGGAGGACAAGATCAAGCAGCACCTGGAGAACGACCCTGGCAGCAGCGAGGACACGGACATCCCCAAGGGATACGTGAGTGCTCCCCAGGCCGTCGCTGCGCGGCTCAGCTTTCAAATGTACTGGGAGTCAGATAATTGAAATGTCAGTATTGGGTTTGCCCTAGTGATTGGAGTGAGTGTTGTGTGCCACGGTAGCTCGGTGTCCCCAGCTGTGAGCAGCTGTGCTCTCTGTCCCCAGATGGATCTGCTGCCCTTCATCAACAAGGCTGGCTGCGAGTGCCTCAACGAGAGCGACGAGCACGGCTTCGAGAACTGCCTGCGCAAGGACTCCTCCTACCTGGAGTCTGACTGCGACGAGCAGGTGAGGTGAGGTGAGGTGCCACAGCCCCAGGAATGGGAGCTGCAGGAACCACGAGATGGGAGCTGCAGGGAGCACGAGATGGGAGCTGCAGGGACCCTGGGCTGGGAGCTGCAGGGAACACGAGAATGGAGGTGCAGGAACCCTGAGATGGGAGCTGCAGGAACCACGAGATGGGAGCTGCAGGGAGCACGAGATGGGAGCTGCAGGGACCCTGGGCTGGGAGCTGCAGGGAGCACAAGAATGGAGCTGCAGGGACCCTGAGATGGGAGCTGCAGGGACCCTGAGATGGGAGCTGCAGGGAGCACGAGATGGGAGCTGCAGGGAGCACGAGATGGGAGCTGCAGGGAGCACGAGATGGGAGCTGCAGGGAGCACGAGATGGGAGCTGCAGGAACCCTGAGATGGGAGCTGCAGGGACCCTGAGATGGGAGCTGCAGGGACCCTGAGATGGGAGCTGCAGGGACCCTGAGATGGGAGCTGCAGGGACCCTGAGATGGGAGCTGCAGGGACCCTGAGATGGGAGCTGCAGGGACCCTGAGATGGGAGCTGCAGGGAGCACGAGATGGGAGCTGCAGGGACCATGAGATGTTCTCTGCAGGAACCCAGGGCTGTAGGGTGTGCTGCCTCAGCCCCAGGGCTGGGAGCTGCAGGAACCCAGGGCTGGGAGCTGCAGAAATCCAGGACCACAAAGGTTTGCACACTGACACTGCCCAGGCACGGAGCTTCTGCTGGGCAATAAGGAGCCACAATGTGTGGAACAGGGGAAAGTGACCCCCGCACTTTATTGCAGAGCTGCCTGATCCCTGTTTGCTGGGCTGGGTTGGTTCCCAAATGAAGAACCAGTGTCTAACTGTGGTTTTTCTCTCCTGATCCCTGTTTGCTGGGCTGGGTTGGTTCCCAAATGAAGAACCAGTGTCTAACTGTGGTTTTTCTCTCCTGATCCCTGTTTGCTGGGCCGGCTTGGTTCCCTAATGAAGAACCAGTGTCTAACTGTGATTTTTCCCTCCTGATCCCTGTTTGCTGGGCCTGGTTAGTTCCCAAATGAAGAACCAGTGTCTAACTGTGGTTTTTCCCTCCTGATCCCTGTTTGCTGGGCTGGGTTGGTTCCCAAATGAAGAACCAGTGTCTAACTGTGGTTTTTCTCTCCTGATCCCTGTTTGCTGGGCTGGGTTGGTTCCCTAATGAAGAACCAGTGTCTAACTGTGGTTTTTCCCTCCTGATCCCTGTTTGCTGTGCCGGGTTGGTTCCCTAACGAAGAACCAGTGTCTAACTGTGGTTTTTCCCTCCTGATCCCTGTTTGCTGGGCCGGCTTGGTTCCCAAATAGAGAATCAATGTTTAATTGTGGTTTTTCCCTCCTGATCCCTGTTTGCTGGGCCGGGTTGGTTCCCTAACGAAGAACCAGTGTTTAATTGTGGTCGTTCCCTCCACAGCTGCTCATCACTGTCGCTTTCAGCCAGCCTGTCAAGCTGTACTCCATGAAACTTCAGGGGCCGGACAATGGTGAGTGCTGCAGGGGGGTTGTTTATTATTCACTGAGGGGCAGGGATTGCAGTTTGATACACAAAGTGATCCACAAACAGAGGCATTTATTGTAGCTTGATGCACACACATAGAAACATTTATAATTTGGTAGCCTGGGTGTAATTCCAGGCTGGAGTGACACTCACTGCAGGATTCCCAATATTTTTATGGCGGCTCAGCTCAATTCCTCCTGTTCCCCAGGGCCATGGTGGCTGTCACTTGTCTCTGCCCCAGCATGGGAAAAGGTGGTTCTGGGCAGGCCATGCTTTGAAGGAGGAGTCTGGAGTTGAGTTTATTGTTCTTATCTACAAAGTTTTCTGTCTGTCCAGCCCAGGTCTGATCAGCAAGACAGCCAAGGGCACGGGGCGGTTGTCTCTTTTATAGTGAAAACTACGTATAAGATATTTACCTTCCATTCCCAATACTTTTCACCCTGGGTAGCAAGTGAAGCAATGACCCATGAACCAATCCACACGTGCCAACATCATCCAGGGAGAAGAAAGAAGAAGGACAGGGCACGCCCAAACCCCTCCATCTTGGGACTCCTGACCCATGTACAGAATTCCAAAGCCCCCTGTACAACATACAAAACATCCGGAGCGATGTGCTGAGTTCCCACAGAATGAATTAAATCCATGAATTAAGATGGAATTCCCAGGTGTCTTTGGCTTCCTGCCAGGGTCGGCGAGCCCCTGCCAGGGCTTTGAGCCATCCAGGGCACCCAGAGAGATGAGGAAGGGCAGAACGTGGGGTTGTGCCCTTCCTGACGGGTTCAGTGTCCCTCCCTGTGTCCCCAGGGCAAGGCCCCAAGTGCATCAAGATCTTCACCAACCTGCCGCGCTCCATGGACTTCGAGGAGGCGGAGCGCAGCGAGCCCACGCAGGCGCTGCAGCTGGGCCCCGAGGACATCAGGGAGGATGGCATCGTGCAGCTGCGCTACGTCAAGTTCCAGAACGTCAACAGCGTCACCGTGAGTGCTGCTGCAGTGCCGGGGCAGTGCCAGCCGTGCCAGCCCCGCCCCGCCGCGCGCTCTGCTCGCCTCGCACGCGGGCACGGCTGCTGCAGGTGTCCCTGGTGCACTTCTCATGCTCCTTTCGGCTTCCCCTGCAGCTGTTTGTGCAGTCCAACCACGGCGACGAGGAGACGACGAGGATCACGTATTTCACGTTCATTGGCACGCCAGTGCAGGCCACCAACATGAACGACTTCAAACGGGTGAGTCCTGCCCGCTTGCCATCCTCACCTGGGCAAACAGGCATGAAACACCAAGTTACCCGCACCAAGGGCAGCTGTGGGCATCTACAGCTTCATTTTGGGGCTCTTTTTTGGGTAACTTTATTATAAGGTCTGGTTTTAAAATATTCAGTGTTTATGGTGCAAGTACCCTCTGGTTTCAGAAGGTTGAAAATTAATTAATTCTTAATTCTTAGCAGCAAAACTTGACCTTAACTCAACGTGAAACTTCATTTCCCTGCTGCTAATGAGTTGATAAAGGAGTTTTTCAGCTTTTGCTGCCCCTCACTGCCACTCAGAGTCACTAAAAATTGTTTTATTGCACTAAAATAAATACAGATTTCAGCCCTCCCTCACTGTCATTTCCACAGCTTCTCCTGGTTCTGGGGAGCTGGACACTGAGGTCCCCTCTTCCCTTCATTTTCCCTTCATTTTCCCTTTCTTTTTCTCTCTCTTTTCCTATTCTTTTTCCCATTCATTTCCCATTCTTTTCCCATTATTTTCCCTTTCTTTCCCAATTCTTTTTCCCCAATTCTTTTTCCCATTATTTTCCCATTCTTTTCCCATTCTTTTCCCTTCATTTTCCCATTCTTTTCCCCCTTCTTCTCCAATTCTTTCCCCATTCTTTCCCCATTTTCCCCATTCTTTTCCAATTCTTTTCCCATTCTTTCCCCATTCTTTTTCCCTTTCTTTGGCTATTCTTTTCCCATTAATTTCCCATTAATTTCCCATTCTTTTTCCCTTTCTTTTCCAATTTTTTCCCATTTCCCCAACTTTTTCTCCTGTTTCTTTCTATTTTCTCTTTTTTCTGCCTCTTTATTCCCATTCCCCCTCATTTCCCCCCAAACTCCCATTTCCCACCAACATCCCCATTTTCCTTTATTTTTTTTCCGTTTTTTTTCTCCTTTTCCCAAAACAACCATTATTCCCCTTGTAAAATCCTTAATTCTTTTTCCTGAGATCCTAAAAAATGGAAATTTGGGGGAGAAAAAGGACTTTTGGTGGGGGAAAAAGGGAATTTTGGGGGCGAAAAAAGGGAATTTTGGGGGCGGAAAAAGGGAATTTTGGGGGGCGGAAAAAGCGAATTTCGCAAAAACAAAAAGACGAAACTTACGGGCGTTTCTTGGGTGCAAAACATGAATTTTTTGGGAGGGAACAATGTGAATTTTGGGGAAATCAGCGAGTTTAGAGGGAACCAAGAGCAGCTGAGCTGGGTTTGTGGCAGCGTGCTGGGCTGGCTGAGCCCGGCCCTGCTGAGCCCGGCTGAGCCCGGCCCGGCTGAGCCCGGCTGAGCCCGGCCCCGCTGAGCCCGGCCCCGCTGAGCCCGGCCCGGCTGAGCCCGGCCCCGCTGAGCCCGGCCCCGCTGTGCTCTCCCCTGCAGGTAGTGGGCAAGAAGGGCGAGAGCCACTAGGAGCGAGGCCGGGAGCCCCTCCCCATCCCCGAGGGCGCGGCGGGAGCGTCCCGGACCGGGACCGGGACCGGACCGGCTCCTCCCGCCCTGGAGCCGCGCTTGCAGCCCTGCACTGCTGCTGCTGCACTGCTGCTGCACTGCTGCTGCACTGCTGCCGCCTTGTAAATAAAGCTGCTGGTTTTGCCAAGCTGCGGGCAGGTGGGAGCTCTCTGCACACAGCGTCCCGGGAGACACACGCTGCGTTTTATTTCATTTTATTTGTGGTGTTTGAGGGGTTCCTTCCACTGCCCATGGCAGTCAGAGCACTGGAATCACACTGAAAAGTTAATCAGGAATTTCATTTAATTTTATTAATTATATCAAAGGGTTCACTCCACTGCCCATGGCAGTCAGAGCACTGGAATCACACTGAAAAGTTAATCAGGAATTTCATTTAATTTTATTAATTATATCAAAGGGTTCCTTCCACTGCCCATGGCAGTCAGAGCACTGGAATAAATAATTTTATTGAACCGGCCCCGCTGAGCCTGGCTGAGCCCGGCCCGGCTGAGCCCGGCCCGGCTGAGCCCGGCCCCGCTGAGCCCGGCCCCGCTGAGCCCGGCCCGGCTGAGCCCGGCCCCGCTGAGCCCGGCCCCGCTGTGCTCTCCCCTGCAGGTAGTGGGCAAGAAGGGCGAGAGCCACTAGGAGCGAGGCCGGGAGCCCCTCCCCATCCCCGAGGGCGCGGCGGGAGCGTCCCGGACCGGGACCGGGACCGGACCGGCTCCTCCCGCCCTGGAGCCGCGCTTGCAGCCCTGCACTGCTGCTGCTGCACTGCTGCTGCACTGCTGCTGCACTGCTGCCGCCTTGTAAATAAAGCTGCTGGTTTTGCCAAGCTGCGGGCAGGTGGGAGCTCTCTGCACACAGCGTCCCGGGAGACACACGCTGCGTTTTATTTCATTTTATTTGTGGTGTTTGAGGGGTTCCTTCCACTGCCCATGGCAGTCAGAGCACTGGAATCACACTGAAAAGTTAATCAGGAATTTCATTTAATTTTATTAATTATATCAAAGGGTTCACTCCACTGCCCATGGCAGTCAGAGCACTGGAATCACACTGAAAAGTTAATCAGGAATTTCATTTAATTTTATTAATTATATCAAAGGGTTCCTTCCACTGTCCATGGAAATCAGAGCACAGGAATCACATTGAAGGGTTAATCAGGAATTTAATTTTATTTTATTCATGATATCAAAGGGTTCATTCCCCAAATTCCCACCTCATTCCTGCAGGGCAGGAGCAGAGGGTTCATCCCTGGGAATCAGAACAGGAGACACACTGGGGGTTAATCAGGAACTTCATTTTATTTTATTTTATTCATGACATTGGAGGGTTCATTCCACTGCCCATGGAAATAAAAGCACAGGAATCACATTGCAGGGTTAATCAGGAAGTGCACTTTATTTTATTCATGATATTTGAAGGGTTCATTTCCACTGTCACTGGAAATCACAGCACAGGAATCACACTGGGAGTTAATCAGGAATTTAATTTAATTTTAATCATGATATCAAAGGGTTCATTCCACTGCCCGTGGAAATCCAGCACTGGAAACACATTGCAGGGTTAATCAGCAACTTAATTTTCTTTTATTTGTGATATTTGAAGGGTTCATTCCACTTCCCATGGCAATCCAGCACTGGAATCACATTGAAGGGTTAATCAAGAATTTTATTTTATTTTATTCATGATATCAAAGGGTTCATTCCACTGCCCGTGGAAATCCAGCACTGGAAACACATTGCAGGGTTAATCAGGAATTTAATTTAATTTTATTTGTGATATTTGAAGGGTTCATTCCACTTCCCATGGCAATCAGAGCACAGGAATCACACTGGGGGTTAATCAGGAATTTAATTTAATTTTATTTGTGATATTTGAAGGGTTCATTCCATTGCCCATGGCAATCCAGCACAGGAATCACACTGGGGGTTAATCAGGAACTTTATTTTATTTTATTTGTGATATTTGAAGGGTTCATTCCACTGCCCATGGCAATCCAGCACAGGAATCACACTGAAGTTCATTAATCAAGAACTTAATTTGGGTCCATGACATGGGGGGTTCATCCCACTGTCCCAGGAAATCAGAGCACAGGAAACACATGGAAAAGTTAATCAGGAACTTTTTATTATTTTATTTTATTTATTTCATTTCATTTTCAAATTTTTTTATTTTATTTTATTTTATTTTATTTTATTTTATTTTTTATTTTATTTTATTTTATTCATGACATTGGGGGTCCATCCCACTGTCCACGGCAATCCAGCACTGGAACCACACTGAAGGGTTAATCAAGAAATTTTATTTTATTTTATTTTGTTTTATTTTATTTTATTTTATTTTATTTTATTTTAATTTATTTTATTTTATTTTGTTTTGTTTTGTTTTGTTTTGTTTTGTTTTGTTTTGTTTTGTTTTGTTTTGTTTTGTTTTGTTTTGTTTTGTTTTGTTTTGTTTTGTTTTGTTTTGTTTTGTTTTGTTTTATCAATGACATTGGAGGATTCATTCCCACTGCCCACGGCAATCCAGCACTGGGGTCCCACTGGAGTTCATTAATTAATAATTAATTAGGGCCCATTTTGGGATCATTCCTGCCCCAAGTTCTGGTCCTGTCGTTTCTGGGATCTTTGGGATTTCAAAAATCAAATTAATAAAAGAATAAATCATAATAAAAATTAATAAATAAAAAGAATAAATAAATAAATAAAAAGTAAATAAATAAGTAAATAAACCATTGTAAAAGAAAATGAAAATAAAAGCAGCCCCCAAAAGATTTTAAAAAGGGTTAAAAAGGATTGGGTAAAACAAGAAAAAAATAAAGAAATAAACCTGCCACAGAATAAAAATAAAATAAAAATTAGAATAAAACAAAAACAAAATAATAACAAAAATAAAATAAAAATAAAAT